AACTCGCAGTCACTTTTTTTGTGGGGGGCCGTGCTTCAGTTCACTGAGTCTTGCACTGCGGTAATATACTCGTGAAGCAGGCCGACCCTCTCCGCGCGCCGTTTTTCATGGCATGGTCAACTCTTTATTCTATTCCAATCTTACCACGCCTGGGAGCGAGTACCAAAAAAGGTGTAAACACGCAGTCAGACGGTGTGAGTGACTCTAGTAAGTGACATGACCTATGAGTGACACAGAACCTTCACTTGTTCGGCCGGTTAGTACCGAACCACCCTACCAGACCCACGAGACCAGGAGTGGGTTATTTAGAGCACTTATATCAAGGATAATCCTTTATCCCAAGTTAAATTCCGGAAACGAGATGGACGCCGCTCCGCTGCCAAAAAAAAGGACAGTCGATACACAGCGGACGCGTGCAGGATGATTACGCCACTTTTGTACCAATCCACTTTTGAACCAGATCAAGTAGCGCTCGCCCCTATTTCGAAAACTTCCCTTCGGGAAGCGCTTCGCTCCGCGAACCACTTCTGTGCTAAAATCGTTCCTTTTGTGGAAAATTTGACCCAGTTGATTGAGCTTGTAACACTCTCAAACCACTTCTGAACCAAATGAAATAGCGCTCGCCTTAGAACAAAAATAGCAAATAGTTGATCGAATAGCTCTCCGTCACGGACGAAAACAGAGCAGAGCTCCTGACTCAAGGACGTACTATTCCTGATGACATTGTGGATATGTGGATGGCTATGCTCTGTGGGCAGGGTGGGGTTACAGCTGCTCGAGGCGTATTGGTGGGAACAACTCACTTCGGCTTCTCGCGGGCCCCTGATAGCATCCTGAAAGGCCGTGAGCTCTATCTCCAACCCGTTCTGGATCCGACATGTGGGAACTATGCCGCATCTGCCGTTGTGGATGGTCAGGTGTATTTCATGGACAGTATGAATCTGTCGGTCCCGTCTTCGGGTTTTTTTTGTACAAGCCCTACGCCAGCTGTATGGTTCAAAACGTGTACTTAATGTTTCGGTCCAACAGCAGAGTTACGGGAGTAATTTATGCGGAGTTTTTGTTATCGCTAGACTTAACTGTGATTTCTTTAACCGCCAGTGGTTTCGTCTTTCGGTGTTCGATGAAGCTAGTATGAGATACCATTCGGCTGCATGCATTACTAGGAAAGAAATTAGCAGGTTTCCGGAAATCTTTCCCGCGCCAGCTAGCATGTTGTTCTCACCTGAAGGGAAATTCAATACCTGAGTTAAAAGTTTTTTATGAGAGTTCTAAGAGTGTAGTTGTCAATTAAATATTCCACAAATAATTTCTTAATATCGGACGACGATGATAAGCGTTCATTGATCACCCAAGTTGGGCGACCCAACTAGCTGTGTCTGCATCCTTATCAGAACTCTTGCCGCTATGTATCATAACCACAGTTACTAGTGAACATAATGCCTAATCTATTGGTGATTTCCGAAACCATACCTTTGACTACGTTACTTAACGTACGAAGTATAACCACTAGCGGCTAGTAAACCTCAACACAGTGCACTAACTTAAGCTGTAGCCTAAGTCCCAGGCCAGTAAGAATCAGAAGCTTAACTCACTCCTGTCCTTAGTCTACCCTATAAGAGCACTAGGCAAGTGCTCGAGCAAGGCCTCAGCACGCATGCAGAAATACGTAACGCCACCGGTGTCACGGCGCACAATCCAATAACAGTAATAACAGAGTAATACAGTCAAGTATAAACACCGGGAAACCGTATAATGGTTCATGAGTCCTCGTACACTGCGCTGGAGCGCACAACGGCCCGTAATAATTACGACATAAT